TCCAGCAGCCTGTTTGTTGGCACTTTACCAGAACTAGGATGCCCTTGTTGTTTGTCCTGAACTCAAGTTGGAGCCATATAGACTTACTACCCTACTCAGACTAAAAGGTCCATTACCTCTGTTTGCTGAATACAAGCTGGAGTCATTGATAACTGCCACCTACTAATTCCCCACACTAGATGACATAGAGATGGAATGAGGAAAAGTGGCCTCCCACAGAGCCAGAGCCCCAACACAAAGATGAGAAGGAAGAATACAGGGGAATAGAATACATTTGGGGATTCTATGGTCACAAATACGTTGGAGTGCGCTAAATAAGTTATGGTGAAACAACAAGAAAAAGACTTTCCTTCAAAAAAAAAAAAAAAAAAGGAAGCCTGAGGATGGAGCAAAGTACAAGTGATAAAAGATGAGAGAGAAAGATGTTTAATTACATGTATTTTACCATCCCTTCTAACAACTTAAGCTAGTAAACACACAAAAGTATGGCATACTGAAAACTTCTATATAAATATAACAAAGACCTGGTCATTAAGTGAAACCATACAAATATGCAACAGAGAGGTCCAATTTAATAACCTACTCTTATACACCACTAAATGTTTAAGAAAAGCTGCTCTCAGAAAGTAAAGTAAAGTAAAGTTAAAACTCTAGCATTCTCTAACTTCGGAGTCCATAAAACTATACCTTGTGCATGCCAGGGATTGTTAAATCAGATAATCGAGTAATCAATGGAATTTCTATCGACTACTTAATTAGTCGGTAAGGGGGGAAACTGCAGAGCCACAGCGGGGTTAACTGTGTCAATCTTATGGCGGGGGCTGGGAATGTGGCAGTGCAGGAATTTGGTTTGGGGTATATGATGGGCTCAGGGAACAGAGCATGCCACAAACACGTAATCTACACCTGCGATTCTTAAACTGTGAATCAGAACTTCAAAGTGGGTCATGAACATGTTTCAAAGGAGTCGCCAGGGATGGATTTAAACTTGCTGGGTTCTGGGGCCAGAGCCATAGCCCAAACCCAACAGCCCCATCCCAAGGCATTCAGGCTTTGCTCCCCCATCCTCACCAGTCTGGGATATTAGGGCTCCAACGGGGTGCGGCTTCTGGCCCTCTTCCTTAGATAGAGTAGTAACATTTGTTGTCAGAAGAGGACTGCGGGGCAACAAAGTTTCATAACCCCTGCTCTACATCAACAGATCAAGCAGGTAAATAATGAGGATGCTATGAGATATTCTTGTTAAAAAGATGTACAGTATATACCCGAGTATAAGCCGAGTTTTTCAGCACAGTTTTTGTGCTGAATAATGCCCCCCTCGGCTTATACTCGAGTCAGTGTCTCGAGAACAGCGTCTCGGGCGGGCTCAGCGCGTCTCTGCCACTGGCCC